CATGTGATGACACCAGCTCACTCCTCGAGTGCTGGCGAGGAATGGGATTCGGGAATGGGGATGGGACACTGAGGATGCCGAGGATACTGAGGATGGGCCGGATCCGGTAGGAAGACAGGCCTGGCATTTACACAGTCGGATGATTTAGATAAACAAGACATGAGCTGTCACGCAAAGGAAACAGAGGAAAAAAGCTGCAAAACACTAAAAGAGGGTAGAACAAAGCGAACCGAGACAGCGAGCCAAGTCCTTAAAGAAAAGCCCCTGAAAGTAGTTATTATTACGCAGGATAAAGCCAGGAGATTAGGAAAAGCTGCGATTCTCATTCCCCGGCGATCGCATTGACTTTTTCCCCAGCCCAGGACAATCAGGACGAGCAGGAGTCGGGAAAACGAATGGCCAGTGATTTATTTGCAGCTCGGCTTTATGTGTTTTATGGAGCCGTTTAATTAGCTTTTAGTTGGGCCACATTCACAATGAATGCAAATATTATATGAATATTAGACGGTCCTTGCTTTCATATGTGGAACAAGTTCATAAATTCAGTTATTAAATAAATGGAGAATTTATCAATTTGCACACTGTCACACACATTTGACAGTCCAACGAGTTTTATTGCAATACCACCGACAATATTTGATGTCGATAGCAACTGCACTTGGAGAAAAAGGCATTATTAACTTTTAAATTTATGCAAGATAATTAATTTTTATCGAAATTCAATCAGTATGTTAGGAACAATTAGCCAAATATAAATAATAAATAAATAATATATAAATAAAATAATAAAATAAATAAATAAATATTATAGTGTTATCCTTAGATCAAAATTATTATTAAGAAGTATAGTTACTTATTAACTTCATTGAAATTAAGATATAATGATTTATTTGTTATGGGTATTTTACTATAATAAAATATATAATTCCTTTTCTATTTAGTTGTCATATTTCCATGTACATTATAAATGCCCTTTTTTTCTGCGTGAGTCATTTTTGACATGAGGGATACAATGAAGTTTAAATGAAAATTCATATATCAATTAAAACCGATTGTGTTAGCAAATTAAAGCCCATTTCGATCCAATCGACTGCATGAGTGACGTGAGTGGACGGAAACTTGAAATGAATAAATGAATGGTATGGTTGCAATACCAATTTGCAGGGCAGCATTAGGCCTCATTTAATACATCATATTTTCGTAATTTTCATTTTGGTTTTTTGGCTTTTTGGCCTCGAAAAGGGGGGCGCAGCTCATGCGTTATACCCGACCATCTGTGGAGGACTGAAGCTGATGTTGGTTTAACTGTGGATGCTGACCCCCTTTTCGGAGATTCTGCGCCCTGAATGGGGCCCCCAAAAATACTGGGAACACTTTGGATTCAAAACAAAACACTTGCAAAACCAACGTTTTGCTCACTGTTTGCAGTAAGCGTTTTTAAAGTTATCCAAAAACTCACTTTCCATATTTTTGAATATAATTATAAAGCACATTTTGATACAGGCCAACTCATGCCGCCGATTAAAAATTCACAAAGGCATACTTAGCGAACATTAATAAAATAAGAGACCGAGTTGAAAAGTCCTTGTGGCTGCGGCACAATGGATTTAAAATGTTAAGCCTGCTGTCGGCGCGAGTGAAAAGTCAACTCTTAAAAATGAAATATTGTTTAGCGCATGAGGGCAAATTGCGGTGTGGCTTAACCCACTCCCAGTCCCCGGGGGTTGTCCGAGCAGCCCCGCCTTAACCCATGTTGTTCTGTGTGTCCGGCCGTGCGCAATTGTACGATTAGCCTAATGAGGTGTGCAGGGCTCGGAGTCCTGATTGATGGTCCTGATTATTCAGCCTGTCGGGCTGCTTATCCCAACCGCCAGAGCTCCCACTCAAACATTCAGCACCCAGTTACCCACTATTTTCTGCCACGAATTCTATCTGTCCAATCCAAAAGCCAAAAATGTCGCCGCTGGCGTGTGTGCATGTGTAAAATTACCCAATTTCAAATGCATTTTGGTGCATTAGGCGGGCGGCAGGTGGCCTGAAATTTGCATATTTGCAACCAGTTTTTAGCACCGCCGCCGGCAGAGCGTCAAATATGAGCAGTGTGATATGGGATACACATAGGTGATTGCCATTATGGCTGAGGCTCCATCGCCGGGGGGGGGTTCCATTAGCCGAAATATTATAACAGACGTTGCACGTGGGCGAGGGAATGGTGTGGCTTCCAAAGTGCCAGACGTCAAAATGCTTTGAAAACATATCGATGCACTTAAGCGTGTTACGGGGGTAAAAACGCCCTCCTTTCATTGCAAATGCCATATTCGATTCGAAGTGCCAATTTAACATGCCATAAATTATGCAATCAAATACGGCAGAATCTAAAGGTCAGCTCGAAAGTTTAAAGTTTTGTTTACCATTTCCGTTTGCCAACGAAGCTGTCATAGTTTGGCCTTCCTTCCTCCTCAACCGTCCGTCCAATGGGGCGGATGTGTGATATTTTATACATTACTCTTTCAACCTCAATGACGGCTTGTTGCATGCTGGCAAAAAAGGATATGAAGGAGCGACAACACTTCTTGGTGACACATTCATAATCCAGCTTTCTACACGGAAAACATCATAAAATATGAACAAACACTTCCGAGACACTGACAAGAAGTTTTAATTGCTTTTCCGCATGCAACTTCTCTCTGGGGCGTGTGTGTAATTTTATAGAGCTTCCTCGGCATTCGATCTAGCTGCATCTACTATATATATACTATATTGTATGGCCACCAATTCATCTTTCAACTGGGCGCACGTGCAGCATTTACGCAGACGTTTTCGAGACTTCATTTTGACGAATACACTTCATGCATAACTGAGCCAAGTGCGACAGGAAGCGGAAGCCCATAAAGTTGACAATGCTTGGCAGCTGTCGCACTTTCTGGGAAACCCTCCAGCCCCGCCAGCCCCGCCAGCCCCTCCATCCGGCATACCCCCATCCCAACAGCCCCTTCATTCCACACTAGAATCAAATATTTATACCTTAATCAGGTGACTGCGCCTCCGGCAAAGATAGAGTTAGTGGGAAAACTTTATTGTCAACTTGATAACTTTGGCACAAAATTTGCTGTTAATTACTCGTGTGCGCAGGGCTCTTGTTCCGCCCACCCAGTGGGTCCAACTTTTGCCTGAAAAACTAACCAGTGCCAACCCAGGGCTTTAAGGATTATTTGTGGTTCGGTTTCGCCGGTTTTAATAGCATAATTTTTCATTCAGTGCCAAAGTTTGCCAGCAACCAGGGGAGAATTGGCTCGTTAACACGGCCATAAAGAATTGAATCTAGTTCTGCTCTTGACATTTACGAAGCTCCTGGCTGGGGTTGTCCTGTAACATCTCCAAGAGGGACTCCTTCCCCTCTCTGATATGTATCTCCCCAACTTTGGATGTACAGTGTGCCTGGGAACACGTCGTAATCATTTGCACCAGTTGTCTTATCGCTTGAAAGATGGTCGAGGGCAAAGCTTTTTGTACTCGGTTTTAGATGGCAACCCCAATCCTCGAACCCCGGACATCCTCCGCCGCCCCTCTACAGTGCATTCCAAAATTGTCGGACATTTGTAAGCAAATAAATGCTGGGCAAAAGATAATCTCATAAGCTGACATAGATAAACAACGGTTCAGAAGGCAAACCACTTTTATTTGATAGCCAAATTCAATTGGATGTTGAAGGGCGCAAGCTGCCTTGGAATTTTATGAAATATTTTTTTTTTGAAAAAATCTATGAACTTATGGCAATGGCACGCACTGTGCCGGACCAGCAGCACATTGTTGACTTGCCGTAAAAACACCAGATGGAATGCACGTGAAAACATCAAGAGCGATGCAATTTCGCAAATTGTCTTCAACTGTGCGAATGCATTTCATTCCGTTTTTGCTGCCATGGCTTAGGCAGCATCTTTCTTTCCCCTACCAACTGAGTTTTGCCAGCCTCTTTGGGTCTGTTTAAGCAATCCCACCCAGATGGAGGTGGGAGGATGAGGATGAGATTGCTGCCGGGAAAACTGTGCCGCAGAATTCATGCACTTATGCAGGACGACCTGCAGCAGGGTTTGTGCGAAAATTAGTCGCTTTATGTGCAGGTTGAGGTCAGCAATTAACGCTCAGAAACCGGGCAAAGGAATTTCCGCCAGAAGTGCAAGACGACGCAGAAATGTGCCATCTTCAAGAGCCGAGAATGGGGATGAGGTTGAGGGTGGGCCAAAATGCTATTCTTGTTTTACTGCCAGCATACATACAATGTACTGCAGACATACATACCATACTTTCATGTATTTGAGCAAGGGCCTGACTGCCTTGCCTGGCCTGGACAAAAGTAATTTTGGCCAAAATGCTCTTATTGACATAAAATATATCGCATAAGTGAGCAAGGAGTACACAAAAACTAACGTTAGGACCTGGCCCTTTAACCCGGAAACTTGGTTAATTGCATTAGGCGCTAGGGTATTCTATTACCGACCTTCATTCGGGGCACATCTGTTCCAGCTGCCCGAATTCCTTCGCAACAGAGTCACTGGGGAAAAGTTGGATGGATGGGGGGTAAATTCCAGAAGTGCGTACGCGTATGCGTATGTACACATAAAACTTTGCACTCTAAGACCGTTTAACCGAATCAAAAAGTTTACCTTTCTCTTGAAATTTAATCGGGCCATTAACACCGCACGATAACTTGTTGTTAAACCAATTTAATGTCAGCTGAATAATAAAATAACATATTTATAAAATTTTTAATCGAATTAAAGAACATTACTTTAATCTCTAACGATATTAATTTAAATCAATGTGGGATACAATTATATATTATTATCTTGTTTTAAGTTAGTATATGTAAAATAAAAGGACGTAAACATTTTTAAATAAAAGGCTAAGCCATTTATTACATTAAACACCAACATTTCTTTGTTTTACTCACCACACATAAATATTTTTTTTCAAATGAATTATTTAAATATGCATCGGTTTCAGTTCATGTTTCAAATCAATTATTCCTTTATTTTTTTGTGAAAAACCTACAGTCATATTGTTTACCCCTTGTATTTTATTACTGGTCACGCAGTGATATGCATGACATGGCAGAAAACACGTGTATTCGTACTTTGTGATTACATATAAATAAATTCTTTTCTGTGAAGTTTAATGTTTCAAGGAATTATTTATTAATTTGCTTACTTTCATTTTTCTACCCCTTTCGAATGCTTCTAATGATATTCCTTTGGGATATAGTTCCCTTGTATGCCATAGGATGGGGTTATTTGAAGTATTTGGTTGTTCTATAGCGAAGGCGTTATGTTTGAGGCTTTTATCCAAATCAACATGGGAGGACCTCTTCCAAACGAAAAGCTCCGCAAGGGGTTTTAGGATTAGGAAGTATAGGATCTCCGCCAGAGAGATGACGCTGAAACCCATAAACAGGCCCATTACACCACCGACATTGGCTAAAACGAGAAATTATTAATTAGTAAGTAGAGTTTTATTCCTTAGTTAATTCAATAAGCAAATATATCTTTCTAGGGTACACTTAAGCTACAGGTTTTTTACTTAGAGTTCAGTTCTTAACTAATTAGTTTAATAATGAAGTAATCTTAGCTATTTTATTTGTTAAATATTGTAATGAGTATATTGTTTAAGAGGTAAACTTTAGCTTAGTGGTACTCTGCCTTTGCATACTCGCTTTTATAGGTATTTGTACCAACCTAATACTTATTAAACCGGATAAGTCTAACCCTCTGAAGAAAACAAACATATATGTTACCAATAGGTATACTCACATAGAAACTCGGTCAGTCCCACGTAGGCATTCTTGGTATTTCCGTAATAGACGGACTCCCGAAAATAGACATTTATCACGGCTATGTTCTCACTCAGATAGGACTTGTTTATGCGCTCCACCATTGCGTTAGCCAGCTGAAAGTTTTCGGAGGCAAGCGGGAAGGCGAAGCCACTGGCCAAATAGTTGAGATCGAAGCAGCTGGGCAGGCACTGTTTTCGGCACTGCACCCAACTGGGACGATTCTCCGCTCTTTGGGCCCTCCTCACACAGAAGGTGTCCAGCATGCTACAGGTACTGGCGTTGCTATAGATCTGCGGATAGTCGAATGGGATGCAGGAGCAAGTTTCGTATAGGTAGGCGGCAAGACACTCGTTCTCGCAGTTGAGCCTCGTATACAACCTATAGAAGATCAGCTCCTTCTCGTCATTGAACAGACACTGCCTACCATCGCGGGATATCGAACGAATGGCCGGAACAGCCTCGGCTCGCACCATTTCGATACGGTAATTGGTCTCATAGCCAAGGGCTGTAATCAAACCGGCCTCCTTCACCATAGGCACCTCAACGGGATTGTGAAAATATACCTGAAAAGAAGATACGAGCGGTCAAATTAAAGTTTTTATTAATGCTAGCACATAAATATTTATGGTTTACTATAATTTAAAGCATTTCTTTGGGTTCTGAAAGAAATTAAAGGATTTTTAAGATGATAAAAACTGATGGCTTGATTAAACTATATTGAGAACCTATTAGACCTACCTTAAAACCTGGTCCATTAGTGGAGGAGCAGTAATATTCACTCATTTCAGCATCTAGTACAGCTGTAAATCCCAAAGTGATACCAGTTCCTAAGATTTTTAAAATGTTAACAAATTGCCTTTCCGTTTCTTACCACCTTCTGTTTAATATTTCCCTTACCACTCGATGCAGCTGGATAAAACTTAGGGGGCAATTTCTCAGGATAACCTGCCTCCGGATCCCACTGAACATTTTCAAACCCATCTGGGTTCGTCAAGTTCCGAGGGTTATTGGCACTGTTAAAATGGAAACAAATAATAATTTGATAAGTAAATATTTTTTAGAGACAAAATCCTTTGTTTACAATGGCTTGTAGAGAAATTCAGGCGGCTGAAAGTTAAAGGCGCAGCACAGGCCCTCATCTGTCAGGATCTGTTGAAACAAATGCGAACAGTTTCGCTCAATGGCACTGAATCTACAGAAGAGCAACATTCTCTCGCAGGACTGCGAATGATTTGAGACAAAATCGGATATCCTCAAGTTGTTCCCCGCGAAAGTTAAACCATCAAGCTCTTCATTAAACTCATTGGATTGCCAGCTATCCGATTCGCACAATAGCTTTAAAAGAGTGCTCTCGTTGGAGCCCCTAGAAAAAAAAATGTAATTTCAATATGATGGACAGGCAGGTATCCAGATTGATAGAATAAAAAACTCACTCTCTATAATTGGCCACCAGACTCCTTTGCACTTGGTTCATATTGCAAATGGTCACGGCGGGAAAGGGTACTTTTAAAATGGAGGTGGCTTGTGGGCTGATGCCAATTATAACCGGAGTGCTGTTCCACTTGACATAGATATTTGATATAAGATGGACTGTGATTGTAAGAGCGGTTACAAAGGAGCCAAAGAAGAATGATCTGAAGTGGATAAGCAGATACAGAAGATATAGATGTTAGCGGAAATAATAAAAAAAAATTTAAGATTTTTTAAGCTTTTTTCCTTAAAATGACTTTCTTATAATAATAACACATTCACACCTCTCCCAACTGTTGAGATTGGAATCACCCACAAATTTAAGGCCGTGCAGACTAGTCTGGGTAAGGAATTGCCGCAGACTCCTGCCAAAACTCTTGAGCAGGAACACAGAGGATCCCTGCCTTTTCGACCTAGTTGACACCGACCGCTCCATTTTCAACTGTTTACTTAATGCCCCTTGACACCACCATAAATACTTTATATCGCAATCAATCAGATGTCAGCACACGTATTAAAGACCCATGTAATTAAGGCTTTACCTTGATTTCAGTGATTTGTGACGGAGTGAATCCTTTCAAGTTAATTAAATTCTCGATGTTGGCTTTGCCGTTGGCATACATGTATGTATGTAAGCATATGCTGCATGCCATCAAGTATACGACGTGTGGCCCGTCTTGAGAAGACAAGTGCAGTGCCCGGAGCATTTCTACATTTTTACGCCACCAAGAGCTTGGTATCAAATTTTAATTGCGTTAGCTTTAGAGTTTATCAAATTGTCTTCAACTCGGGGGTTCAATGTATCTCATTGAATTATATTGGAGGTAAACTTTTCGCCCCAAAAACTTGAATAATTGAGCTTTTCGGTGGCGGCCAACAAGCTTTTTGCCCCCAAAGCTTGATAAAAGAAAGCTCCACCGCACGTGATGACACTGCGAACCGGTTAGCAAGTCAGTTCCATCTCGACGATCAGTCCCACTTTGTTTACATCTGTTAGAGATCATGAGAATCCGTAGCAACCCGCTGCCCCGCCGGCTGGTGGATGTCTTGTGCTTCCTGATTATTGGGGTCTTTCTGCCGGTGGTGTTCCTGTTCGAGATCGTGGTGGTGCTACCCGCTTTCCATGAGCCCGGCGGCTTCTTGCACACCTTCACCTTCCTGATGGCCATGTTCCTGGTGTTTAATATCAAGGGAAATATGATTGCTTGCATGATGATCGACACCAGTGTGGATGGTAGGTGAGAGTTCACACTTTAAATGGAACCCAGTGACACGGATTAACTTTTTTCAGTGAAAAAGGTGGAGGCACCACCGGATCAGATGGATTGGAGGGAGTGCAGCGAGTGCCAGAGACTTGCCCCGCCCAGATCTTGGCATTGCAAGGTCTGCAAGGTGTGCGTACTGAAGCGGGATCACCACTGCCTCTACACTGGCTGCTGCATTGGACACAGGAACCATCGCTTCTTCATGGGTTTCATTTTCTATCTATTTGTGGGATCCGTCTACGCCCTGGTCTACAACTCCATCTACATGTGGATTATCCAGGGGCACATCTATTGCAACTGGCTAACCATTCTCAAGCTGACCTGCCCCATGCTGCTTCTGGTGACGGGTAGTTTTTGGGTGAACATGTACCTGCTGTTCTACAGCTTGAATGTTTTAGCCCTGGCCTATGGGGTGCTCCTCCTGGGTTACCATGTGCCCATCCTTCTAAGAGGCGGGGTTTCCGCCGATCGCACAAAGGAGAGCAAGCAAAAGTACGACAGAGGAGTCTACCAAAATCTGAGGAGTGTTTTTGGAGACCGCATGCATATAGCCTGGTTATCTCCACTGATTCGCAGCCATCTGCCGGATGACGGTTACCACTGGAGTGCCTCTAAGAACAGAAAAGACTAAGACTGATTAGCATTTAGAATGTATACGTGCAATACAGCTCCTACCTAGGAATCCCGTAGATAAGCACTGTGGCTTTGGCTGCCTCTGGCTGGTTATATGTTAATCTTAAGGTGGTAAAGTTGTAACCAATGCCGCCACTGAGAATGAATGCTTGTCCTTCCCATTCCATTTTACTTTCATCGATGATCAAAATCAGGTTGATGTGGAAACACAAGTTGGCCTAAAAAGAAATACCTAAGAACACATTTTCAAATACATTTTATTTAAAATACCTTTTGTTTGAACTCCACATCTACATATCCACCAGAATGTTTAGAGAATACTTCGATTTCATAAATAGCAACTGCTAGGGGGTGCATAGTGCCGAATTGAACGGAGTAGCACATAACTTCCACAGAAGGAAGGATTGCCAGCAGCAATAGACCACGCGTATAGAACATTTCTATAGACTAAACCCATTATTCTATTGGACCACACCTGTGGGAAAAATAGCCTATTTCTCTAATTGATTTGATGACTAGACAAGCAAACATAGATTGATAACAAAAGTGATACTTTTTATTGATGTATTAAAACCCTCTTTGATAGACCGACCACTCAGCCAACCTGCACTTTCCGTATAACCGATTTGCACTCATCGTTGCGGAAGACTCGATGGTAGCTGGTTATCTTGCCCAGCGACGAGATGAAGTTCTCGTCGTGTGTGATGATGATGAGCATAAAGTTCGACTGACTCTGGCGCTCCTCCACGATGCAGTTCAGCGCATCGCACAACGAGGTTATATTGATGCGATCCAAGTTCGTGGTGGGCTCATCCAATGCCAGTACACCGCAATTACTGCTAAACGTCTCGGCTAGTGCCAAGCGTATAATCAGCGAGGCCAGGACGCGCTGACCAGCACTGCAGCGTCCCCGCATCTCGATCTCAGTGTTATTCTTCGACTGGACCACTCTGTAGTTGTAGGTTTTTCGGCGATCCGCCGAAGCATCCGTGCTGACCTCGTCTGTCTTCACCTGAATGTAGTCGATGTCATTACCGCGGTATATCATCCGCCAGTACTCGCGTATCAGCCGGTTAATCTTCTCCATCTTCTCCGCATGGAACTGAATTAGGGCCCACTCCAAAGCCAAACGATGTTGGCCCAAGTCCTCGATGCTGAGGCGAGTTACCATCAGCTCGTAATTGGCCTTCCGGAAGTTTTTAAGAGACTCCTTAAACTTGGGCTCATCGATTTCTCGCTTCAACTTGTTCACCTGGTTGTTAATCTCGCCCAGCTGGCCCAACAGCTCACCCTTGCGCACTGTGGCCTTATCCCGTTGTTTTGTCAGCTCAACTTTCTCCTTGCTGACGCTGCGGAAATCCAGGTTACCAAGTTGCTTGTCTAACGTCTGGCAGCTTTCTCTCAGTTTTGTTTCCTTATCCTGTAGCTGTTTCAGCTCGCGATTATCCTTCAGATCTCGTTCAACGGTCTGCTGATTGAGGCACTCAGTTTTAATGGTCTCCAGTTCATCAGTTTTCAAAGATATTTCGGTTTCCTGTAAAAGCAATTCCAATAAAGCTCTTGTTGTATGGTAATAATTTAAATTTCTCACCAATTTCCTCAGCTGATCTTTAGTTGCCTTTATAACCTCATCAAGTTTCTTGATTTCATTTTGAAGGTTTAATTTGGCAAACTCCTGAGCTTCTTTATTCAATCTAAAATGATATAAAATCATACATATGTAAGCGAATTGGTAGGATTCTTTATATTTACCTTTGTATGTCCTGATCTGTGCTTTTGTAGGAATTATATTTCGTATTCATCTGAGCTACCTTCGCTTTTTCACTTTCTTTTAAACGCTCTTTTTCATCTATGGATTTTCTTAAGTTCTGCTTTAAAGGCTGAATTTTTGCCTTTAGTTCGCTTATTTCAGTGGCGACTGTAATAAGAAATGATTTGAGCTTTTCAAAACGTTCCTTTAACTGTGGCAAGCTTTGAAGACCCTCCTGTAGGTGTATTTGTCTGTCTTTCAAACTAAAAATAGATAAGGTTAGTTAATCTCGGGGAACTAACAAGGTGCAAAGCAGTACCTATTCTTCTTTTCGCGCAAACGGTTAAGGGCATCCATTTGCTGTTGGAATGTGTTCTGAGTGGAGTCTAACTCCTTGCGTTCCGCATCCAACTCCTTGGAAACCTGACTCTTCTCCGCCTGCAAGGCATCCATCGAGACACTCGAATCGTAGGAAGCAGGCAACTTAGCCTAAAATTGAACAGAAATATCGTATTTCTCGTATAGTATATAAGCAAAGTCAATCAAAAGGGATATACCCTACCTTTTGCTGATCCAGATCTTTTGTAAGTCGCAGCGAGTCTTTTAAAGCCTCGTCTAACAAAGTCATATCACCCATCATGGAATTTGCCAACTCCATATTCTGTGTAGGCTCGCCAATCAAAGCAAGCAACGTTTCATATTCGCTGACACTCTCCCCGAGCAACTCCTCCACTTTTTTAAGTTCCTCCTTTTTCTGAGGCATTGATTCCTTCAGATCCTTGACCTTAAGGATGTTGGGTTTTATTTGCAATAAGTTCTCAAACTTGATTTGCTCCGCTTTCAGCGCTTTTTCAGCTCTGGTGATATTATCGGGCAACTTTTGGATTTCATCAGTTAGCTCATTCGTCAAATCGCAAGCCTCATCACTAGACATGTCGTGATGGCACAATGGACAACAAGGCTCTTCATCGATTTTCTGTATGTATCTAGCAAAAGGGCGTATTTAAGTAAATTAAATTAATCTGTAAATGGGATTTCCCCAACTCACTTCTTGTAAAGGGCCTCAGCAGATTTCAGCGCCCCATGGTCGAACTGCAGCTTGGATATGGCCGTTTTGCTTCGCTCTAGCAGATCATCGTACGGAGTTGACCGACACTTTTGAAATATCAACTCCTCACTCTCCTTGAGCTCCTTCTCCATGCGCGAGATCTCAACGATAAGGTTCTTACGTTTGATCTCGTGCGACTGCTCCTTTAGCTTCTGCGAGTTAGCCTTTTCGTTAAGGTCCTGGATTTCACGCCGAAGCCTATCGTAGGCTCCTTGCATCGATCGGCGATAGTTGCTATTAATGGGTTCCTTAAAGAATTTCCCAAAATTATCGGCGTGTCGGCTGCGCACTCGATGCACTTCCTGGTTCCTCTTTTCGAGCTCCTTCTGCTTGAGGCTGATCTCGGCAACCATCTTGGCCATGGAGCCCAGGAAAGTCAACTGTTCGTCCAGCTTCTTAAAGAGAGTTTGCTTCTCGGCAATACTGGCCTTCTTACAGGCTATGACCTCTTTCATCGCCTGCTGGTCCAAATCTTTCGTAGCGGTCTCGTACAGCTCGTTGACTTCGGAAATTTCTTTCTCCAGCTTTTTCAATTCCTGCATGGATGTTTCAATTTTTTTTATCTCAGCGCCAAGGGTTTCACTCTCTCGTTTGCTAGACTCCTTCTGCTTTTCTTGCGCTGTCACGCTTTGCTCCGACTTGGTCAGCTCAATGCGCAACTCGTCGATCTTGGCTTGCCTTCCCCGATCGGCCTTGTCGTTCTGCTCGACAATCTCTGTGATTTCACAGTGCTTGCTTAGTAACATCTCCTCGATGTCCTGCATTACTTTCTCAAGCTTCTCAGGCTGCTCAACAAGATCCCCGTCAATGGGAATCTTAAGTTCGAGGCAGAAGTCCTTTACCCGCTTCAGAAGCTGTGCCCGACAAGTCTGCTCGCTTTGGTGACGTTGCTTGGCCAGGCAATGCTTCCTGTCCTGCGTGCTCAATTTTTCCTGTTCAGCTGCACTGCTTTTCTTAAGCTGGGACAAACTCTGTTCCGCTTCTGTGCGCTGTTGCCGCATCTCCGACATGCGCTGATCGAAGTTGTTGATCTCTTGCTCTAACTCAATCAGAGAACCTTTAAAAGGGCTCTTGATCTTCCTCGTTATGGTGGAGATCTGCTCCTTGCAGTTTTTGTGCCTGTCAAGAAAGTAAAAGTTAGTTTTTATAGGAAAGTAGTAGAGATGGTAAAGCTTACTTGGTGTCCATTTCAACCTTCTGCGCTTGATACTTGCCAACTTCAAACTCGACATTCCGGATTTCCAACAACCTGGCCTCAATGGGCTTCATTTCCTCTTCGCATTCGTTGCACTGCGCCTTGATGGAGTCGCATTTTTGCTGGGCTTTCTGCAGGCTCAGAGTTTTAACCTCCATTTCCTCCTTGAGATAAGCTACATGCTTCATGTTGGCGTCTGTAGAACGATATTTGTGAAACCAAAGTCTGTTTTTATGGAGATAGGGTTAACTTACCCATCACTTTCAGCTGCTCCACAGCTTCCTTGCGAAGCTTTATGATTTTATCCAGGGCCTTATTGTACTCGGTGATTCCGAATATTGCGTCGAACTTCTCCTTCAACTTCTTTGCCTCGTCCAGCGGCCAACTGGAGTCCTCTTGATGGCAGAACAGGACATTGTTAATGATAGCCTTCGAGACGCCCATGAAGTCTGAGATTGCCACATCGATGTCCACCGTGCGACCGCTTAGGGAGTCCTGATTCTCGCGCTTAGATTGCCCAGCGCCGGTCAGAAAGTTGATTGTGGAGTCCATTGTCTCGAAGGACACCTTGTTGCGCTTGTTGGACACCTTCATTGTGCGGCAAATAGACACCTGAGCACCCCGCTTGTCTCGCACCTGCATCTTGATCTGCGCCAGCGATTCGTTCAGCCCAAAGATCTTGGGGTCGTGGACGAAACTCTTGCCGCGGTCACTCCCGGGCGGACATTCGCCGGTCAGGGCGTACTTTAAGCACTCTATTACGGTCGTTTTTCCGCATCCATTCTCGCCCAGAATCAGGGTAACCGGCGATGAGAACGTAATGCTCTGCGAGTTGCGTAGTTTTTAACTTCATTTAATATTTCGATTTGCCCGCAGCACTTACCTGTAGATCCTCGGCATTGGAACCGAAACTCCGGACTCCCTGGATGGACAACTTGTCAATGGATGACATGTCGGTGTTTCAACAAAGGCAGGACCAAGCTAATTCTATTATTTATAATTTCACCAAAACCGCAAATTTGCCGGGCTGTTGCCAGGGATGCAGTGATGGAAATAATATGTTATCGGAGTTTATCGATTGTTAGCTATTTTCTAACCAATTTTATTAAGGGTATTTTTTATAAATGTTAAGTAAGCCAGAGGTAGTATAATTATTGTTTATGGTGTACAAATTAACTAACGTATCAGATGTTTCTTACCTATATCAAAGTCATTTTAAAAGTTATACTGTATTTAACAACCATAATTCAGTTTCAGGACCTAATTATTTTTAATTCGCAACCACCAAAATCTTCGTTTTTAAGAAACCTTCAAATAGGAGTTTAGACGACGAAAGGTAAAAAGCAGTCCTTTTCCAAGAAGTTCAAAAAATGTTTATTAACATTTTCGAGTTAAGAGTGAGCAAATAATTTTGTATAGGTTTTAAACTATAAAATGGATAACAAGGCTAGAGTCCATCATTTAATGATAACATATATTTTATTTAAATAGGCACCATAAGGAAAGTATATAAATTGACATTAAATTGTTATCATATAAAACCGTATTTCTCTTATTTTGTTAAACAGATTTTATAGAAAAACGTATGTTCTCACAAGAGAAAATCACAATAACATTTTGTAATAAACTTGTTATACCCTCTTCAAAGATATGTAAACATACATTAAATTTTTTATAAAAAAAATTCCAATCTGGTTCTGCAGAAATTCGTCTGTAAAGGAAACCAAGATAACTTGTATGGAATGGTGAATAAATGCGTCAGACAAATACACAGCCCTCCAAGTACTCCACAGCATCTCATTTTATTAGCATTCGAGTGTTTGAAGTGTGTAAACCTCTATTCCGCGAGACAATCAATTCTTAAGACAATTAAGTTACAACTTAATGAAAAAATATTTTAAAAGTGTAGTTAGGTAAAATGCGTCGACTTCTTTTTCTTGTATTGTTGGCCTTTCAATCCCAAATTGATGCATTCAATTTTTCGCCACATCCGAACCTTGTGATAAATTCCCCAATGCCTTTAAGGACTCGTTTAAAACAAACGCGGAGCTCCTACTTTGGATTCTCGGTCGTCATTCGTCCACAAAGGTAAGTTTCAGGGTTTCTAATAGAAGCAATACACTTTTTGGGAGTGCTTAAAAAATAAAAGAAATTAGCGATTTTGGTATAAAATGATAATTACATTTTTTTTCATGACACCCATTAGATCAAAACTGTTGTTTCACAATAAGCAAAGAAAAGTTAAACTCTAGCATCAACAATTAATCATACCAGTCATAAAATTGCTTTATATGTTAACGATACCATAAATCCGAAAGATTTAAGTTTTATATTTAGAAATGCATACAAAATACATGCATATATGTACAGTGAGGAGCAAAAGTGAAATGAATAATACAAATTGGGTTCCATTGCATTGATAATAACTTTTTTAAGCGGACAACAATCCACTGTTCATAAAAAAATGGATTATCACTCAAATTTCTTATGATCTAAAAAATAAACCCATCTCACTATGGATAACCTTGAATAGTTGAACTTATTTTAGACGTCATAACCTGAACTACATAGTATTTTTGCATTGCAGCATCATAGTGGGAGCTCCCCGGGCTCAACCCACCTTGGATTCGCAAAGGACCATCAATGAGCCAGGAGCGATCTTCAGGTGCTCCCTTGAAAACGCAATCTGCAATCCGTATGTCATGGATTCCCAGGGAAATGTGGTTACGCCTGACACTTGGACAATGAACTCTGAGAGCAAGGATTTTCAGTGGCTTGGTGGATCAATGGATGGTGGCACAAGGGATACGGATATGCTCCTCGTGTGCGCACCCCGGTTTTACGCCTCTAAGGGAAACGAAGGTCACCTTCATGGAATTTGCTACTGGATTAACAACACAACGAATAGTACACCGGAAAACGTGACTCGCATCTCTCCATTCCGCTTGGAATCAAACCAGATGTATCCAAACCGTATAGGCAGGTACTATTACTTTATGGGGGAACAGGGCCTCAGTGCCCACGTAGCGGACGATAACTCCCAATTCCTGATCGGAGCACCGGGTGTCTATAATTGGAAGGGAGCGGTAAACCTTTACAAGAACAACGAAGACAACATCCTCAGGAAGCTTTCATTGGATGAAAACTCGTACCTTGGCTATGCCGTGAGCTCCGGATATTTTGACAGCAACGACCCGACCACCCTCTATTACGTGGCCACTGCTCCCAAAGACCAAATAAATTCCGCGGTAGCCTATATTTTTGATGATCAAAGATTTATCCACCCAAAACAAACTTTGAGAGGTGAGCAGTTTGGCGAATATTTCGGATACTCCGTTCTGGCGGAAGATCTTAATGGAGACGGACTAACAGACGTTATCATATCAGCACCCCTAAATGATATGGGTAATTCCTGCGACAACGGTGTCATTTATGTTTTTATCAACAAGGGCTCGGTGAGTAATAAGTTCGAAAAAAGAAAACCAAATTTTTGACGCCTCCTTATCATTGAAGTTCGAGTTTGACCGGACGACTGTGGAATCTCCAGCGGGCAGCAAGGCTCGATTCGGAACAACTATTTCGCGTCTGGGAGATATAAACCATGACGGATACAATGGTGGGTTATTCCAGGGTAACACAACATATTTTAAGGGTTATATTTCATTAGATAGTTGAATGTTATCTTTATGGTTCTCTTTGAAAAGATTTGGTTTTGTGGCATACTTTGTTGATTTTAGTTTTTTAAAAACATAATATGTATTTATTTGCAGACGTGGCCGTGGGAGCACCGTTTGCCGGAAACGGATCTGTTTTCATATATCTAGGAAGCGAAAGTGGATTACGGAATAGACCGAGTCAGCGACTGGATGCTCCTTCCCAGACACTATACGAGTACGGAGATCACATGTTCGGTCACGGCCTGTCCCGCGGATCAGATATAGATGGCAATGGATTCAACGACTTCGCTATAGGAGCACCCAATGCCGAGACTGTCTATCTCTATCGCTCCTATCCTGTAGTAAAAATACACGCTACGTTATATTTGGAATCTCGATATATCAAACCGAAACAGGGGCAGGTAATTTTCACCGCCTGCTACCGCTTGGGTACCTTGGCCAAACCTAAGGATCTGCAGCAGCAGGAGCTAGACATCCGGATTACCATGGACAAGCGGGCTAAATTCACCGAGAGTCAGAGCAGTGAGATGATCTTCAAGGCAAATGCGGGTCTTGCCGAGCAATGTCGTATCTTCGAGATCCAGGTGACCAGAAAGTCCGTACTCACGCCCATTGAACTGGAGATGCACTACGAGTTGGCAAAGAAGATTCCCGAAACGGAAGGTAAGCCTTAGTGATATCAAATATTTCATTTAATATTGAATTGATATATATATACATTCCAATAGGGTTCTGCGAAACCTGCGTGACTGTTGATCCCACGGATCCGAATTCTTGCACCGAAAAGATCGTTTTCTCCACGGGGTGTGCCACCGATGTTTGCGTGGTTGATCTGCAGTTGAAAAGCGAGGATTTTGGGTAGGGCTTTATAATTTTATTTTATTTAAGTTGCTAATTTTTTTTTAGACCTACTTATATTTTGGGTTCTACCGACACACTCCGGCTAAATTACGAGATCACCAACCATGGAGAAACCGCCTTCCTGCCTCAATTCAACGTCACCAGCTCCGCCCGTCTACCTTTCGCTCAGATTCCTGGAAATTGCAAAGTCGATGAGTCGGTTATGATATGCGACCTGAACCACGGACAACCGCTGGCCAAAGGTGACAGTGATTCCGTCTCCATAAGTTTCGATGTGACCCAACTCAGGGGACAATCACTGATCATCAACGCAGCAGTATTCAGTGAGGGAAACGAGAAGAATTCCGCGGATAATAAACAGACCAACAACATCAATCTTAGAGAGTTTACCGAGATTGATGTAAGCGGGTAAGATTCAATAAAACTTGTATAAATTGGTTACACTTGACCTAAATCCCCTAATTACTTTCAGGGGTCAGAAAAGCGATCAAGTTGATTTGGATGACAAGAGGATCTCCGAGGAAATGATCAACAGTTACGAGATCAAGAGCAACGGGCCCAGTACCATCGAACAGTTGACCGTATCCTTTTATTTACCCATTGCACATAAAAAGGCTGATTCCTCAGAAGTGCAACACATCATTAATATAACCAGCCTGAAAATGCAGGCCACCCACGATTCCCAAGTGTTACCCATTAAACTTTATGACCACAATAATAACCTACTGATTGTGGACACCACTGATAATTATACCCACAACGAACTGGAAGAGGACGACCACATAACCTATTCCATTCGAAAGCGAAGGGATCTCAACGAACCGGTCGCGAACCTAAAGCAATCCGCTCTTGTTAAGACTCACGATCTGCCCGTGAACAGAACCATTGTGTTCAATTGTCAGTTCGTTAATACGACGATCTGCGTCAGGGCCGAGATGAGCGTCCAATTAAGGCCAGATAAACCTATCAGCCTCAATGTTAGCTTTATCGTAGATCTAACTGAAGTTGTAGTTCCTTGGGAGTACTTTGTTATCTTGAGCGATCTAGAGCTGTTCAAGAAAGGAGATCCCACAAGCAGTTCGCTTGTAATTAATAAGAACATCGAGCCAAATGTGATATTCAGCCACCTGAGGGTTGAACTACCCATCTGGTATATTTTTTGGTCCCTAATCAGTGGATTCCTCTTACTTTGTGCAATAACCTACGCCCTATACAAGGTTCGTATATATGAAGCCAAAAAAGAATTTATATTTTATATTGTTGATTTTTCTGTCTTTAGTGCGGATTCTTTAAACGCAAGAGGAGGGACGAGCTGAACTTGATTCGACAAAGCATTAAAGGGGAGATTCCCATCGAGATATTGGAGGAAAACAGTAGCTGTGACATCGACGACTTACCAGATCAGCAAATAGAAAATATATAGCCGAGTTTCTGTTGAATAATATAATTGGATATGAAATAGTAATACGTGTTCTTGGAGTAGTTTACATCTCAGTTCTTTATGGTAAATTGTACTTATTAATTTATAATATTTTTTGTATTCCCTTTTATTTCATAAAGGAAAGGTTTTGTACAAAGAAATACCGGAGTTATAAGATAACTGCCTGTCCTCTAGCATTTGCAAGTGCTTTGAGGTGAACACTATTCCGGGAGAAAGGGCGGTTCGTCCCTAAAAAACCCAAACTAAAAAAAAACAAAATCCTTAGTTTTTTAATTAACTATTTGCACCAACCTTTAGGGAAACGAAAACAAACTAAATATATTATGTTTTCAATTTGAATTACCGCTTCAATTGCCATTTAAGTATGGCCCAAAAATCAATCGATAGTTTGGTAAATTAATCGATAATTTCTCGGACGCACTGCCCATCAGGTCGTAGGTTTCCAGCTCTTATTTAACAAGTATTTGACGATTTCTTAATGAAAATGATCCGGAATCGCTTTGGCAGCTTGTCGCGCGTCTCTGTCCAGTTGCAGCGCCATGTCCAGCAGATGTCCACGAATGCAGCAGTGGCTCCGGCGGAGGGAACCACCATCAATGAGTTCAGGACGGCTGTCAGCAATCCCGGCGAGCACTCGGCAGTGCAGGTGGCCAAGTTCTACACCATTCCCGCGGAGCAGAAGAAGCAGATCTTCGGAGGCGGCGGCCTACCCAAGCAGTACGAGCAGCAGATCAAGACCTTTACGGAGGCTTGTCTGATGGTCCGGAATCCTGCCCTGGAACTGCTGCAGTACATCAAAGACACCGACTTAACCAAGCCAGTGGTGCGATATGTGCTGTATGGAGAGAATGGAACCGGCAAGACCCTGACCATGGCCCATGTGCTGCACTACGGTGCCCTCAACGACTACGTGCTGGTCCACGTGCCCTGGGCGCCCAACTGGATGAAACGGCCAAAGGAAGCGTCCAATGCCGCCGGCCAGGAGGGCATGATTGACCTGCCCTTCGATGCGGCCGCCTGGCTGGTGCACTTTAAGACCCAGAACAGCCAGCTTCTCCAGCGGCTGCAGCTGAAAACCAGCAAGGAGTACGTTTGGAGCAAGCGCGAAAGCACGCCAGCGGGCTCCACGCTCATTGAGCTGGTTGAGCACGGGATAGCACGTATCAAGTACGCCTCGGAGACCACGGCGGCGCTAATTGCGGAACTCAAACAGCTCTCCACCGCTGGACAGTGCAAGGTGATGGTGGCCATCGATGGCTTCAATGCCTTTTTCCATCCGGTTACCCGCATTTTCTCCGACAACAAGCAGCGGGTGACCCCGGATCAAGTCACACTCACCCAGCCCTTCCTCGACATCACCAACTATGACTGGACGAACGGAGTGTGCATCCTGTCCGTGGACAAGATCGCCATGACCGAGGGCCACATGGACTCGTATATGCCGCGCTATCTGCTCGGCCAGGAGGGCTTCGAGCATCTGGATCCCTTCGTGCCCATCCACGTGGATAACTACACGGACAAGGAGTTCCACAGCTACATCAGCTACTATCTCGACCGCCACTGGATCAACAAGACGCCGCAGGGATTCGAGGAGCAGCTCAAGTTCATGAGCAACAAGAATCCCTACGCGCTGATGCAGCTGGTGAGGGCTTTGTAGAGTGGCAATTGTCCTGTATTTGTTAGCCAATAAAGTTAAATGATTTGTTAAACACGGAACACGGAGATTTGGTGCCTACCCTCCTCTCGATTTTGAATAATTGGAGTGGAGAATTCAAATTGGAAATTTATTTAACGATAATCAGCAATACATAATAATGCACTGTAAAATATATAGATTCGTACTTTCACATGTGTATATGTGTATGGGGTTTACATGCAGTTTTCAGTGTTCCGAAATCAATACAAATCGGGTTGGGTTTAATTTTCGTGTGGTTCTTAGCTTCAGAAGCATCGTCAACAAAGTCTAGCTCAATGTCCATGCGGATCTGCAGGCTGCACTCTCTATATATGTACGATATATACTATATCTTAGGTTTCGTTCCGGTGTGTGTGGGTGAATGAACAAAATAATAACTAGGCTGCAATTAACATTTGTCGTCATATTCGTATGTATATTTGCATAATTTCTATTACAATTTTAGTTGCTTTTAACAACAATAACAATTATGTATGTATGTATGTGTTCGCATATTTTTCTCTGATCGGATGTGGTTTGCATTATCGTAGGCGTAATCGCTCTTCAGCGCCGATCTATGTTGTAGATTCTCGTTTGCGTTCTAATGTTCATTTGGTTTAAACTTTTAAGGTTTTACGTGAATATGCTGATGCTTTGAATATACGTAGGCGCGAGTGATCGTGTGGTGTTGCATATGCACTATGTGTAATAAATCATACCGCTTCTATATACTTGTTATATATTATTCATGATCGTTTGCAGTTGGTTTTTCTGTCCTGGCGACGTAACAAATAAAAATAAAAAGCCTCCTCTTCTAAACGTCAACATAATACAAAATGCATTAAACAAAAATAGGATAAACTTAATCGCAGAGTGGGAGAAGCAATAGGATTAAGCGACTGCGGGGAGGATACGTATGAGAGTTAACATAAAGGAGATATATATATTCATTGATATAAATTAAAAATTGATGAAATCTTCGCATGCGTCAGTGATAAAATAAGATTGTAAATTATATATGACAAAACAAAACAAGGACATCTGGCTCGACCGGGATCATCCTTGAATACATCCATTCGTTTCGGCCCGATCCAATATCGAGGCGTTCTTCTCCTCCTCCTCCTTTCTTCTTCGATCTTTCATTTCCAAATGCTCGCAGGGCCCAACACACGGATTCCAAAGTCTCAGATCCTTCAAACCCAATCCTCGAGGAGTGCTTGCGTGCGTGTGGGGTGGTGGGTGTTTCTCTGGTCGGTTAGTTGGTTTTGGTTGGGTGATTGAGGTGTTCGTCTGTTCCTCGGAGCATTCGTCTACTTAGGCTAGTTTTCTTAAACATACATTTACTCATTCGTTTCGTTTTGGTTTCCACCCTGCCGAAATCCTGGTGAAATCAATGCATGACAAGTTTCCAATGTTCTCATAGTTACTACATCTACCTTTGGAGCTGTGTGTGGGTGTTGGTGTTTGGATGGGCATGACAGATGGGTGTGAATACTTCCGGATAAAGCATCAATGACGGTGAGGGATAGTTGAACAAACAGCGAACGGCAGCGGGCGGTGCATCCTCCCATCTGTATTATTTCTTGACAAACTGATAGGGGGCAGCGGGACGGTAGCGCATATTGGGTGGCACAGCGCCGCCGATGCCACCGCCAGTGGTGGCCACGATGCTATTGGCCATGATCCCGCCGCCGCCGGCATTGCCCAGCCCGGCATTCCGACCATTGAAGCTGGCCGCACTGACGACCATTCCGGGTGGTGAGGCTCGCACAATCGCCTGCGGTGGCAGGGCGGTGTGCATGGCATTGCCCCGCTGGGCGGCTGCAAAAGCGAAAATGGTTTCTAGGGTATATGGACCAAGAGCATCCGGACTCACCTGGCACATAGGGTTTTGGCTGGTGGTACGCATTGTTGTGTGAGCGAAAGTAGACAGTCTCCTCGTTGTGGCGATAGTGTGATTGTTGCTGAAACTTTTGTCTGTCGGGGAGATGGGGATTTAGTTTGACGGATAGAGGACATCTGACCTCGACCCACCTGTAGTTGCCGCCGGAGCGCTGGTTGCCGTTGCCATTGTTGCTGCCGGATCCAGCTGCTCCGCCATTTCCGTTTCCCCCTCCACCACCACCACCGCCGCCGCCGCCACCTCCTCCACCACCTCCACTGGCCGCTGCATTCGACTGCTGCTGCAGCTGGCGAAGCGTGAGCTTCTTGGCCGCCTCCGGATCCTCCATGAGCTCGCGGTACTGCTCCTGGCGGATGTCATCGTGTTTGTCCGGCGTAAGATATCGCCGAATCTCGGCCAGGGCGTAGGCCACACGGGCGTACGCCTCGGCGGGCGGAGCTATGGTGGACACCTCGACGTGCAGCGGAAGATTCAGGTGGGCGTATTTCGCGTCCGCGGAGTTGCGCAGCTCCTCCTCGCGGGCTCTATCCTTCATTGAGAAGCGGCCAAGTATGACGATCTTGCACTGCGTTTCCTCCTGCAGGCGGCGCAGCGAGTTGCCCTTGGGGCCCAGAAGCTTGCCCACATAGTTGAACTTCTTGTCCTTGATGGGCACGTGCACCTTCTGGGAGAGCTTGATGGTGCGCTGCTGGTAGACGTCGGCGTACTGGTCTCTCGTCGGGATGCGTCCGTTCAGCTGCACACGCTCCAAAGCTGCAAAAACCGAGGGAAATCAGTGTAATTACCATGAAGCGACCCGGACAAATCAATTACCTTCGTCGATCAGCTTCAGCGCCAGGGGGAAGTGGTTCTCCATGCGCGACCTCTCCGTCATGAGCTCCTGCATGTACTTCTGGACCGCCGGCGCCGGCTGGGCCTTCTCGCTGTCCGCATTGGCGTTGTGTTCGTTCTCGTGCTCCCCGTTGCTCGTCCCCCCGCTGCTGCCGGTGGCCACCACTCCGGCTCCGGCCACTGCAGCGGATCCTGATCCCTGCCCGGCTCCTGCCGCCGTGGAAGCCACCGAGGAGGCCACCGCGGATGACCCTGGCACACGCAGTCCGTTCTCCGCCATTTGTCCTGCCTTCGGGATCGCTATCGCTCTGTCGTCCTGCTGAGTCGCCGAGTCTCCGGTTTTCCGTGCGCGGATTGCTAGCGATCGCTTTCGCTGTCGATTCGTTTTGATTGCCAAGTTTGCACACTTCAGCCTTCCCAGTGGCCCTAATTTTTCTCTCTTTTTCCAAGTGTGTATTTTATTCGGACATTTACTATGTTAGCGGCGCGGTCCGGCAACTCCGGTCTTATGGGCTGACTCTCGTGCTTCTGCAGCGTGCTGTTAACTGCCAATCGGCTGCTGTTAAGCGCGAATCGATGTTATCGGCCCTGAGAGGCAACGACTATAAGTCGATAGGTCTGACCAAGGATGCGAGTACGGCGGGAGCACAGCTTTTTTCAAGCCACTATTTGAGGGTGACACAGCCATTTCCTCAGATGGAAATAGTATTGAAGTACATTGGAAATCTTTTTCAAATTTGACCAACGAGAATTCTTTTTCTATTAAATCACTCCCTCAATTTCGTTCTAAGTCTCTATTTCCAAGTTTTTTAATGTCTTTATACAACAACATTTAGTTTTCCTGAAAAATACTGGCAAAGGTCAATACCTTTTATTTTTGATTAATTTTTTTTAATATTTTAAAATCAAAAACTGTTTTAGACATAACTGAAAGATTGACTTTTGGAAAACTATAGAGTTTTCAAAAACAACGTAAAAGAATAAATCTGAAATGAAGGTCATTGTAACGATTTGGTAATGGGAATTTCATACTAAATAAATGGTGAGTAAGCACTTGTTATGCCTTTTTTTGGAATTGAATAACTTTATCAAAAACATTAAAATTTACATATGCTGTGTCAGAACTTTCGTACATCTCGTATTTAGCTTGGATTTGTTTCTTCACTTTGCTTCCAAGCCAACTGGGTGCTTCCCAGTTTTTAGAGGAACCGTGTGGAACACCTAAAGTGGTATATAAAATTGTGAACGGCGATAATGCTAGACTTCAAGATGCTGCATGGATGGCTGCAATCGACAACGGCACAGCTCTTCTTTGTGGTGGCACCCTGATTCATAGACGTAGGTATTTTTATACAAGGGAATGTTTCGGGATGCCATAAAAATCTCTTAGCGCTCGATTCGGATGGAATATTACGTGTGTATGCACATTGTACATACATAAACAAAAAAATTTCTCTAGAACTCAGAGCTAAGTAATTTATGTGGCACGCCCGTTTGGTTTGTAAGTAAAAGGTTATACTTTTTCAGGATTTGTTTTAACTGCTGCACATTGCATACATGGCCAAAAAAAACTGTGAGTATTACACAGAAATCCAACAAATCCAACATTTTTTCCCCGAAATCGCTTGGCGAATATATAATATTTTTCAGCTTTGGATTATTTGTGAAATAATTTTTAAAATATCCATTTTTCCCCGATCCATTAACGGGTTCAGATTATCAGAACCAAACTATAATTTCACATATGATAGATGTCTAATTGTCTTGATTTAACTGCAGATATGAAAGATTGGATTAAGTTTAAATGCAATTTTTATTGATTAAAGACAGGTGAGGTTGGGAGCATACAACAGAAGTAACCCTACCGTCGTACACAATGTCATTAAAGGAATAACTCACAGATTATACAAAAAATCTTCAAGTTTTCAAAATGATATAGGATTGCTTAAACTTTCGAGCAGCGTCTTCTTCAACCGTATGTCAACGACTTGATCGCTGAACAGAATAAAAGATATTAATTGTTTCTCTCCACAGCCCATATTCACCCAATCTGCATTATTTTGAATAAGAATTTGAAAACAGACGTAGATAACACACAGAAATTTAGAGCCTATGGTTGGGGACTAAAAGAAAACCGCGAGGAGAGCGATATACTTCAAACTATCATCGTCAACCGTGCAGATCCTTACAATTGCTATAAGGGACTTGGAGTGACTCCCACTTCAAATCAGATATGTGGTTGGGTTTCTTACGGAGACACCTGTCAAGGCGATTCTGGTGGTCCATTGGTCAATAATGTCACTATTAAGGGAATCGGCGTTCGGGCAACCCAGCTAGGAATCGTAAGCTACGGCGACCTTGGGTGCAATGGTCTTAGTGTATATACCGATGTGACAAGCTATGTGGATTGGATTGCGGCTACTATAAAAAAATACAGTGCGGATAAGTCACAAACCCAAATACCTCTACGGCCCGCCAAGGATCTCGATAAGTGGCTTTACAGAGACTGCGGTGGTGATACCATTGCTTCAAATTTACTGGCAAACATTTATGGACCTAATTTCATGGCCCAGGGCGTGCTGATCACAGACCGTACGTTAATATTCTGAAAATATTTCATCAAAATTTGCAATATTTACATTTCAAATTGTTCTAATCCAAAAGCAATTGGAAGTTAACTTGGGGATGCCAAGATTTTTATACCATTGAAAGCCAGTTATACATTTAAAAATAGTATACAAATTGGCTTCCTTCGGAAATATTTATTCCAAATCCGACTAATTTAGGAACATTTCTTTTAATTTTTTTTATCAGAATTTGTCATAACAAATGCCAAGGGCCTACCAGCAAATCCACATTCCCTGTGAGTATTCTCAAAATATACCATGCTATTTTTCAAATAATTTTTTTTTAACTCACAGTGAAGTGAGTGTGATCGGAATGCAAAAAACATATGAATCATACAGAGTTGTTAAAATCTTCAAGCAAGCACAGGAAAACAATGATATTGCTTTGCTCAAACTAAATCGACAGGTGACGGGAACAGGTAAAATGGTTTATATATATGATATAAGGACACTATCGCTAAATTTCTCTTTTCCAGATGGAATGAAACCAATCTGTATGCTTGCGAACTTAAACGACCAACAGGAAGTCGAATCTAGCACCTCCTTTACAGTGTTTGACTATATTAACACCTATTCAGGTGTTTTTGATTTTACCGTTTTTCCTATAAGCCCCTATGATTGCTCATACAGTATCCAACGAATAATCGAACCAAATCAACTTTGTGTGAGAACTCCTCGGGGTATTAGTCAGAATTACGGAAAACCTGGCGACATATTGGGAAAAAAGATATTTTATATGGGAAAGGAATGGTTCGTTATGTATGGAATTGTCAGCTATAGCTATAATGGTGTGTACATTTATACGAATGTTATGGCTCAAACTGGGTGGATAGCGAATACGTTGAAGTTAAATCAGTTTTAGTTTTCTATCAGGGGGCTACAAAAATTACTTCTGCGTCAAGTCTTGTACAGTTTATACTGATGCACATAAGAAACTTTCGCTAAATGTGTTATGTTATACAAGCTATTTATTAACATTAAATATGTAAATAACTTTATACGTAAAATAAATATCATAACTTTCAGAGTTTTTTATGAAGGAGTTTTCTTTGGATTTAATTGTGATGTATTCGGGAAGTCACAACATACTTACTAAATGATCCCAGACTTTAATTTTTTACAACAATTTCAAGCCACAAAAGTTTTTAAACACAATTAATTTTAAAAAGAGCATAACTTTTTTTAAACTATATGTGTATTTCATACGTATTTTGAACATTTTCAATTTTGTGTTGATGCACATAAGAAACACGCACTCATTCAGCGCTCTGGTATTACTGTGTTACTCCAAATAGATATACATTTACAGAAATCGCTTAGCGGGCTGTGTTCAATCGAACATCAAAATAAATTCCATTTGAATTCAAATCCAACCAATATCCCTAGCTAACCCGCATACTTTTTAGCTACATATATACATACATACTTCTAGCTATTTTTTAAAAGAGCTATGCATATGTAATCGATAGCTAGCCTCAGTGCTATCGAATCGGTTTTATCGAGTGCTATCGAATTGGTGCTACCACATACATATTTTTTCAGCCAACTAATTCTGCAAGAGTAGAATTTTTTCCTAACAGTGGGACTTTTAGAATTTGCACATCCTCCAAGCCAGATTTAACCAAAGCCGGAATGCCGCGCGACTACGATAGGGACTACAATGAGGACGCCGCCGACTACAAGAGAAAGCGACGCGACGAGGAGCCAGCGGCGACCGGTGCTCCGGAGACTCCGGAGGCGGATGGCGGCGGACACACACACACCACCAGCCACGCCGCCCTCCGGGACACGCCCCAGCTGAACGAGAAGACCAACGCGTACCTGCAGGAGTGCCTGCTGGAAAAGAAGACGCTCGAGAAGAAGCACATCATCACCAAGCGGCTGCTTGACGACGGTGAGTTTGACCCTGAGACACGTAAGACCTGCTTAAACGATTCTAATTGATTTTTCACGGCCCCGCAGAGGTGGAGAAGATCTTGGTCAGCGGTCGCATACCCAAACCGGAGATCTATGCCAACGTGTACAGCGAAAAGCCGATCCGAGTGGCCCAGAAGGTGCTGTTCCCCATCAAGGAGTACCCCAAGTTCAACTTTGTTGGCAAAATCCTGGGCCCCAAGGGCAACACACTGCGCCAGCTGCAGGAGGAGACCATGTGCAAGATGGTTGTGATGGGGCGAAACTCTATGCGCGACCACGGCAAGGAGGAAGAGCTTCGCAGCTCTGGCAATCCCAAGTACGCACATCTCAGCCGAGATTTGCATGTGGAGATATCCACGGTGGCCCCTCCCGCGGAGGCCTATCACAGGATCAGCTATGCGCTGGGCGAGATACGCAAGTTTATGATACCCGATGCCAACGACGACATTCGGCTGGAGCAACTGCGCGAGATGGACGGCAAGGAGCGCATGTACAAGAAGTCTCACCACTATTCCAAGTCATACGGCGATCACGGCGCCTACAGTTCTCGGTAAGACCGTGCGTTTACGTTGCCTGTTAATTGGTTATTGACGATTTCGTCTCGTCACAGCACTCCACCTCCTGCTTCCTCCAAGCCCAAAGTTTATTCGATTCTGGAGAAGGCACGATATGTGATGGACGATCCCAACTATGGCATCGTCAAGACGCACAGGTTGGATAAGTTTAATCTAGTTATTAATCCTTTTAGGGGTCGTGACAGAAGAGGGAAATCCAAACGCTATTAGTGTTTATATTCGTAGTCAGGATCACCAAATGTATTCAACTAGATTCTCATCTCGGTCATTTTACGTGAAACCATCTGCCATTTGAACCATCCGTCAAATCGTTATAGCTTTGTTCAGCAAAAACCGTTTGATTCTTAGTCAGTTTATTTAATAACTTAGCTCTCATTTGTTTAATTAGTCGAAATGAGAGCAGGTGTACAATACATTATGCCATTGGTCACGACCATATAGTTATAGTTTAATTGGAATACCATACGTGTTGCTATGGTCCTCTGCCTGCAATTTATTTAAAGTACTAAAAGAAGCTACAGTCGACAGTTTTAAAAATCCATTATATTTTCAGTAGATCCCGGGACCATGAGCTGTACGACCACCACGGAGAATACGATCGCTACGCCACACCGCCGCCCCAGACATCTAAGCACTCGACCCACCACGCCCAGTACGACAGCAGCTCCTACGAGCGCGACTACCGGCGTGAGTATCACCCCCACTCATCCTCCTCTTCTTACGCGGCGGCCTATCCAGGTAAGCTATCTAGCTTTCTAGACGTATTAATCTCTTCCCTCAGCAGGCATGTAAAAAGAAAGAAAATGAAAAAAGAAAAAGAATACGACAAATAGCAATGTAAACGTTTAAACTCAAATCGCGCAAATCAAGAATAAAACTCGAACGCAAAACAAAAAAAAATATATCCAACTAAGCAACGATAATTGAAAACGCAAAAAAAAGAAAAACAGAAACCACCACAAAACCGCGTACCAAAATTATGATAAACGGCAACCCATCCCATTTTAACAAGATTTTAAATGCACTATGCCTGATCAGAGGCGAAATCAACTAAACCGTACAGCGACAATAAAATCATCTTCATTAATTGGACGACTACTAACATATTCACAAGAGGCAAGAACCAAAAAATTAAAACAAAATCGACTAAAAATCCAATTACTTAAACTTACACCTTGAGAACAAAATCGCAAAACTTCATGCTAGAAAACGCAATAAATATTCGTACAACATGTTTAAAATATAAAATCCAAACTGAAAGGTTTGTGAAACTATTTTTTTGAATCGTGAAAAAAAATGCATTTTACTTAATAGAAGAACTTATCGTAGGGTGTAGTGCATTCAAAACCGGTTAAACAATGTATTTTTCTTTTTTTACAATGTATATATGTTAAGCAAATGAAAAACAAAAAACCAAAACAGCACCACAGAGACAGAAACAATTTAAAATCTAAACAACAAATAAAATTCTTTCCAAAATAGCAAAACCAAGCAACGGTCGTTCATCATCGTCATATCGACCAACAACCTCGGGCTCGGGATCACATTCATCTGCACACTACGAAACTGGATCCCGATCTCGTGAAAGCGTGCGTTATCGCTCGGCTCCATATCCGAAAATACGTTAACCCATCGATTTACCAAAATCCCATGAAACCAACCCCAACAACAACAACTACAACAACCACAACTAAACAAAGTTAAGCATAAAGAATAAAATATATTCCAAACAAATTATCAAAAATGTTTAAAGTCAACAATCCAACTATGCACACCTATTAAATATACTATCTAAACGAAAGTAAAAAAAAACGTAACTTTTTATTGCAATTGTTATCCCAATATTCGAATTGTGTTGAAACAACAAAAAAAAAAAGAAATCATCACTGCAACAAGTTTTAACCACGAAATGATTGTAAAAATAAAACAAAAACTACAATCCAATTAATGCTAGTTAAAGCGAATACAAAAAAGAGAACAAAACACAAACAAAAATCCCCAAACAATTAATTAATCAATGCGTAATGTTAGACTAAGCTTTGGAAATTATGTTTCATAAGATTATGGAGATAAAACCAACAATAAAAGCAAATAAGAAACCAGAGATATATGCCCAACGACAAGTAAGTATCGCCTGCGGAAACTCTGATTAACTACAAACAACTATCAGCAGCAAATAAAATATTAACCAAGTTCCGGCTTCGTTAAAAATTCCCTCGAGCAATGAGTATTGTGAAACGTCAAACGTTGTCGTTTATAATTATGATTTCCTTTTATTTTGTTTGTTTTCCTGCGAACCGACAATTGTTTTATATCTTAAATATTATTTTTAACATTAATCCGTATTAGGCCGATTAGAACTGAATGTGTTTGCCGCGAAAAATATCCCAAAATAAAGAAAAGAATAATCAAGGAATCTTGTTTCATTTGGGGATTCAAAAGTTCATGGCACCATCTAGGAACATCAGACTGTCCACAGCCGATATGGCCATTTCCACGTCCCTCTTTTGGATGGTTTTCTTCTTGGACTGGGCAGTATAGGTGTATGATTCCCGGGACAAGGAGGCGATGAATAATTCGACCGCTTTGGCCACCGTAAAGACAGCCTCATTGTTGGCCATGTGTAGATCCGGATCCAATTTCATAATGTTTCGTATTCTGGCCATGGGAAGTTGTGTCATTCTGGCTTCGTGATCTGCAGAGGGTTTGGTGCCATTCGTCACTGCAAAAATATAAGCTATTAGGGTAAAAACCTAGTAACTGATGACCATAACTTACGCGGTTTGTCTGCAACTGGTTCTGAGGCAGATTCCGCTGGAGGATTCTCCGGCGTTTCCTCTATAACTTCCGGGGATTCCTTGGCCTCCCCTGCTTCCTCTGCCTCCGTCTCCATGGCCTGCTGCAGCTGCAGATCCTGTTCTTCCGAGAATTCATTCTCAAATAAGTCTTCGCTAGCCATTGTTTATCACAAAAATTAAAAACAAATTCTATTTTAGAGATGAGCATCCAGCAGCCGCCAAAAATATCGATATCACTCACTATCGTATATTGAAAGGCAGCCATTCTGTTATTCTGGCTAGTTCTAGCTAGTTTTCAAATATGTAATCGGTTTCCTTTGATTATTTAGCTGCTTCTGTATGTTTTAATAAAACGTTTAACATAATGTTTATTTCTTAAATAAAAAAAAAAATCCGCTTTTATAGGAATTTTTATCTAACTTATAATACAATTTATAACTATAATTATTTAATTAAATTGTGTTACTTAAAATGTATAACAACAGAATTTTTTGGTTGAAATTATTAAAAATATCTAGTTGCTATGGTTTTTCTTGGCATACTCTTGAAACAATTAAATGAATGTCAATTAAAGCTCGACAGCCCTGAACTTCGATACGTTTTTCAGCCCTGCGGCCATTTTGAACTCTGTTATACATACAGTTTTCCAGTTTGCGTTTTGCATTGAAAAAATCTCGGTAAGAACTTTATGATAAAAATGGAACCACCAAGCGAGTTTGCTGAGAAGCCAGCCACCCATGACCACCAGCCGCGTCTGAACGAGGTGGCGCAAAAGTTTCTGGCCGATTTGGACGAGGAACGCCAGCGTTTGTCCGCCGAATTTCCACTTTGTGCCTTGCTTATCGACGAGGGTAAAATCAATATGGCAATACAAAGGTCGCAAAATGGTAATTCCCTCCATATTGCAGCTGTGGACCGAGTCTACTGCACGGGTCGCATTCCCGGCAAGGAGTTCTACGCGGATGTGTACAAGCAGAAGCCGATGAAGATTACCCAAAAGGTGTTCGTGCCCGTCAAGCAGTATCCCAAGGTGGGTCCTACATGTAGGCTTCTCCCTCTTTAATATTAAACCCTACCATATCTCTGCAGTTCAACTTTACTGGCAAGATCCTGGGACCCAAGGGCAACTCGCTGCGCCGTCTGCAAGAGGAGACCCAGTGCAAGATAGCCATCAAGGGACGCAGTTCGATCCGCGATCGAACCAAGGAGGAGCAACTGCGCAACTCGGGTGATCCGAGGTATGCCCACTTGCAGAAGGACCTCTTCCTGGAGGTCAGCACGGTGGCCACTCCGGCGGAGTGCTATGCTCGTATAGCCTACGCCCTGGCCGAGATCCGTAAGTATCTAATTCCAGACAAGAATGATGAGGTTTCCCACGAACAACTGCGTGAATTGATGGAAATGGATCCGGAGTCGGCCAAAAGTATTCACGGACCCAATCTGGAAGCCTACAGGTAAGATGATAAAAATGCTAGCCTCTGTATACCCCTGCAACTTACTTGTCCAAGTCATCAAAATCACTTAATCTATGAATGTCTCTCAGTGGACTGTTTTAATACTCTGTCTTGTAACTAATAACCTCTAGCAAGCATATGCATAAAATTAAAGCATGCCTTTATAACTCTTTTATAACCGATTGCTATAATGTTTTAAGGGCAATATTAGAGAAACATATTTATCCAAGCTTCTTGCAGGAAGAGTAATCGGTATACAGAGGGTTAACATGGGGAATAGAAATCTAAGTCAAATATTTATAGATCTGTCTTCGACAAGAAATTCGGAGGCAACGGCAATGGAGCTCCCAAGTACATCAACCTAATCAAGCGCGCTGCGGAAAATCCGCCCGAGTAAGTTACTTGTAAAGTATAATTTTGTATCATTTACTGACCCCACCAGGAATACAGGACCCAAGCGTCCTCGCGTCTGTTTAGTACCTTAAGTCCTAGCCAACATGCCTTGATATACGGTCATTAACATTGTCAATCCTTATAGAGTCGATGATGGGGAGGAGGTGGCCTACGAGTATGAGCACCGTATGCCCCCCAAGCGTCCACCCACGGGCTATGAGTACACCAAACGTAAGTGGATCTCACGCATGCTTTTCTAATCCTTTCAGCCGTAGATTCGTAGTACCGGGGTATATTATATAAAATCGCTTTCTGCCTTCCTTCCCAGTTTTATGGGTTACACTTTGGTTGGGGCTCCTTGGGTTAGATTGTAGTATCAGAACCAGTACCAATACCAGTGAATGAACAATAACTTCTCAATGCAAAACTATATAATACTCTGGAATGATTAATTTTACATAACGAACAACTTTTTTATATAGTAATGATATATACGCATAACATACTAAAAATAATAATGAACCAATTTTATAGCACGTCCATCAATAATACCGACAAACGGAGCGGCATATAAACGTCCATATCCGACTGACATGAAACGTATGCGCGAACCGCCCATCAAGTCCTATAAGCCCAATCCGTATACCATACTCAAAAAATATAAATAATAGAACCGAGCTGCGCCGTTCGGAGCTCCGGTTGATTCCGGCACACAACGCTATAAATGATAACTAAGGACGATGTTTATGTTAAAAAACCCATACTGGGAGCACTATGAATATACATGAAACCTAATATTTTCTTGATCTAACGAGAAAAAAGCAGCATTTAAAATGTTGCTATGAATAAATAACGAGTAACATTTATAAACATGCGCACTAGCGCTATTAATTCCCACAAATATAATATTAATCTTAATTTGTATTACGCATAAACCTGTCCGAACTGTTGACGTTTCTTTTTGGGACCATGTCAACGGATCGTAAGCCCAATTATATACTATTCTGTTTTAAATTATTAATTCCTGTGTTCGTAGTTCTCTATGATCCTCAAATATGTGTAATAAAATGAAACGAATTGAATGAATTTAATAAATACTGTCGAAACGAATCCAACTATAATTGAATCGATTAAACTACCCGATCCTCCCCCTTACAATCAATATATGCATTACATATTTAAACACATGTGTCATTAGCAGTAGAATCAAGAGTTATATCTCTACAAAATAAACTAGTAAAGTAATAAATCGGTATGAAATTATCACATTGTTCAATGAAATGAAGTGAAGATCACCATCCATTTGGGACATCAAGACATTAAAATGCGTTTAAAAATAAGTTAATAAAGCATTATGAATTTATAAATTATAAAGAAAGAACATTGAATAAACAATTAAAGTTGCTGCACGACAACAATATTTAATATTTTCTTGAAAAACAATTTAGTTTCAGATATATCTGATGGGTAAGTAGTTCGAACTTTTAGTGATAAGATGTTTAAACAAAGGATAAACGGATAATAAAGGTTTTTAAAAGAAACATGTCTTTTATTATTTTTGCTTATAGGGAATGAACATATTTGTCTAAAATTAACTGTAAATATAACATTTTTAGTTTTTTTTTCGTTTTTTATAAATCTTTAACAAGGGTTCTTTGGTTCGATTAATATTAAACTAGCATTGGTATTGTATGGGTCTTCCTGTAAAGCTGGCTAGCCAAATCTGCTTCTCCAGCTCGTTTTCATTAGCTCTTGTGCCATTTTCTTGTGGTTGGTTTTGTAATCGGTGCAGGATTCTTTGGTAAACCTCAAAGGCAGTTTGGGCCTGCCCACAACGACTCTGGCCACAATGCTCCGAGAACTGGGATTCCTCAAGGTAAGTATCTTCGGTCAGAGGGGTATTCTCGCTTTGCGGTATCATCTGAAGGATGCGAAAGTAGTCACTGATTTCTTAAAGCCAACTACTCGATAAGAACTCACCTTAGCTGTTCCAACTGACGCTGATTTATTCCGCTGACTAGATGTGTGTCCTGGCCGCTAAGCAGTTGTCGACTGAGCCGGAAAGTAAAGTTCTCGCTCGAGGCTTGTGCCACCACCATTAGCACCACCCTTAGGAGCCACCATATGGTTGCCAGGCCCTGCGCACATTGCGGAATTCCTCCTCCTACTCCTCCACCGCGTTGCAGCTGCAGTGAGCTCCTATAAGGACCTCAGCGCTTTGTTGTCCTTGTCGCGCGTGTGTTACCCCCTCCCACTTTCAAAAAAAGTACGACACCGAATCCTGCCGGCCTGCATATATAGGGGTGGATTTCGTTGAATGGATTCAGCTGGGTCTATAGCAGCTCTAGTTTATTTCAGTTTTATATCCGACAAAATTGCATACATTGTTTTCATGTATTCATAATCTGTTCACATATACATATATATATATATATATAGTATCCTTCACAATGATTCTTTAAGCCACTTGGTATCGCATTTTGTTCCGCTAAGTTAAAATCAATTATGTACTAATCTCTCGATTCGTTAAGCGCAAGACTAAAGCAATCACACTAGGCTAATTCGATCCTATAGATAGCATATCTAAATTCAAAGAGTGGTTTACAAACAATATTACTTTAAAGGAGTCTAAAAACATCGACGTTGGAAGTAAGAGGAAGCAGAGTTGGAAGTGTAGTTTAAATAATCTATAGCTCTAGGAAGTTTGCTTCCCCGAAAAATCGGTTTCCTATGTATATATATTAAAGTAACAAAGCAACACCTAACTTTAATTTGCCAAGCCATCGATGTAATCCGAGGGCCACATCCCAATGTCAAGCTCATCTGTTGCGGTGCGCATCTCCAAACGTAATGCCGGTGGTGCAGATTTTAGAGGGGTCTTGAACTTGGCCCGCTTCAAAAACGGAAGGCCACTGCCAACTGGAGAGGGGCCAGGAGCAGGCCGATCAGCCAGAGGCTAATGTCCCGTCCATGAGGCGCCGCATCCTTGGCGGGGGTCGAGGTTACCGCCGAGACGGTAGGTACCGATGGAACCGTGGTGCTTGGCTCCGGTCCAAAGCGAATGGTTACCTGGCGTCGCGCCTTGTTGGGCACTTCGCACACATACTGCTCCTCCGTCGCATTGGAGGCCAGGGGCACGGTCAGGGAGAACTGTTTGTCCATGCTGTAAATCTTGTCGAATATGTTGTTTCCGTTGGAGACAGGTGTCTTTCCTTTGTACCAAAGGACCACGTGATGTTGAGCTTTAAAAACAGCAAAAAATCAATATTTGGTAAGGTCATCGTAGGTAACACATCAATATTTTCGAGAGGGCTTCACAGAACTGATGATACCTTTAAAAGGGCCAATTTAAAGAAGAAATCTACATTTCCCTAGATTATCAAATGTTTAAGCAAATTGAATAAAAATGTAAATTTTATTATTTTATTAATATTGAATATTAACGCAGGAACAAAAAATTTAACTTTGTGAAATTTCCTTGAACCATTTCTAGTTTTCCATGATATTCGGGCGCTCCTGAGCAAAAGTCCCATATAAACTTCTTTTCCATCACTTACACATTTAAAAGTCATGGAGCCCCAAATATTCAAGATAGGAAATATATATTAGCAATGTTGATGCTTATTAAGACTGTGTTTCAGCAAAAATATTTAAGATAACTCCAATTATGTATGTAGGCCAGGCACATAATTGATTTTTGTGTTCTTAGCTATTCCACGAAATCTATAGGTGATGGAACACAAGATTATATGGGACTTTTACTCAGGAAGATCCAATTATCATGGTAAACTAGAAAGGGTTCTTGACAAATTTTGGCTGTGTGTTTGATTTACTCTTTGATATAAAGACATATTCTTAAAAACTACCTATTTTTATTAAAAGCTCAAGTCATTTTTGTTTTTATTTCTGATTGTGCACTCACCATTGTAATTCTTTACAGGACACTCGAGCTTCACACTGGTCGTGTTGATCGGCACATATATGTTAACATCAGTCTGCTCGAAGAAAGGTTCGGGGATTTTGGGATTTTCAGTAGACCTAGCCAGGTTTCCCGCTGCATGCTGCGACTCATCCTCATAGTCATAATCCTTGCTGGTGTCTGTGGGAGTGATTCCTCCACCAACTCCTCCTCCATCGCCGCCTCCAGCGACTGAAGAGGATTTGGCTGGGAGTGCCTCTGGGTAGGTCAGCACACCTGGAACATATTGTAATTAGCTAGGTTCCCTAAAAACACACGCAGTTTTTTCTACACGGACAAAAACCAAGTATTTAAAAATTTAATGTTTCCAGGTGAAAAAGAGTTGACCTGCTTTGCACCTCATTGTTCGGTAAATAGTAACATAATTTTATAAACACTGATGAAAAGTTAATTATTTTGATATTATTTTTTAATGAAATATAATTGTTTTAGGTTCTTAAATATACAATAATTTTAGTGTCTGTTTCAGAATGATGTGACAAATGTAAATATTTGTAGATGAATTTGTTTCTGTGTATCCATTGAAAAGCACTCGAAAAGGTGCCAGCCCAGATTTCCGTGTCTGGCGATAGTTTCCAAGCCTAGGCTCCAAAGACCCTGGGAAGGCAACATAAAACCATTAACGGAATACGGAATATGCCGCCAAGCCAAGCCCCTTTTCTATGTGAATTTTCCCAGGGAGCGTGTCAACGCCCATTCTGGAGTGATATGATGGTTACAACTCCAGTTGGAGGTCAGGTCACGGAATGGAATTCTTTTCGGGAATACTCAGCATATGCAAGCCACAAACTCGCTGATATATGTATCTGGATTTGGCTCAAGGATATAGGTACAGCTGCGGCAACAAAAATAGCACCAGTGTGTAGGCAATTCTTCTTTGTGCTACAGAATGGTAATTTTTTGCAATATTTTTATTCTGTTTGTAAGGGTAAGTAGGGTTACATATCTATTAACTAAAATAAAAGTGGTTACGCCCACAATGCGGATGGTTTTTAAAATTTCGATACATTTATCAAAAAAGTAGCAAAGTTATGCGGCAACAAAAATAGCACCACTTAAATAAAAAACTTAAAAAACTTAAAAATAACGCGATTTGAAAATTTTTTTTGATTGAAACTTATGATTTCATACACCTTAAGGTAAAAAAATATTGTTCTAAAGCTTGGGCTGCAACAACAACAACAACAACGACCGACCTTGACGTCACTAGACACCAGAATCTTCCCTTGGCAAAATTGTTGTCTGGCTCTTTCAAAATAGCTCGAGGGCAGTTTTTTTTCTTCGGTTTTGCATTAAAAACATAGTTTTTAACATTTCTGCAAAGATTTTCGATGTGTTTTAGTTCTGGGGCTTGTAAGGTCCCCATTATACCATTTAGCTTAAGGGTTTTAAAACTTTGTACGACTTTCTGACTGATTTTTTTTGGGTTATAACCGTGGTAAAGCTTCGGAAATAAATTAGTTTTGTATTACGAATAAAATTGCATCACAATTTCTGAGCTATCAAGGTGAACATGTTGATCCTGTATGGGTTTACATTATGATATGGTACCAACATTATAGTACGAGAATATGCCCATACCATTATACTTGCTTCACCATTATTATTCTTTGCAAATGTGAAATGGGGACTCAATTTTGGATATGTAGGTTACCTGATGTGAATTTAAAGTCTTTTTCATCTAAACATGAGCAATTTTCAGCCGCCAGACCATATAAGAGTGTTCCTTTTATTGTGAGCCTTATTTAAAACTCGCCCTTCAAATTCACCCATGCTCTGCAGTCTAGGGAGATTTTTTTTTTGGACGTCAAGCGCATAATTGATTTTTATGTACATTATATCCAACTTTTTATGTACTTACAAATATTAAAAAAAAAAAAGCGACTTGATAGGCGCCTAAAACGGGACCTACTTGCATTCATGCAAATGACTTTTTAACAGTTATGGGGTCATTGCGGCTTTCGTACTGCGTGCTATTCTTTTGTGTTCTTGTTTTAGGTAACTACTAATCATTATTTTAAAGAATTCAACGATTCAACTTAACTTATCTTTTGCATTGCCTTTATAAATTAGCTTTTTAAATGTCCTTCTATCTGTATCATTACAGCGCGCTAAATGACCCATTGGGAACACTATTTTATGCATTATTTTACCAATTCACTTAGTAGTACTTATTCTTAATACAACAAAACGAAAAACAGCCAACAAATCTGAGCAAATGAAGTTTTATACCCAAAAACCGTTAATAGTGCTATTTTTGTTGCCGCATAATTATGCTACTTTTTTCATAAATCTATCGAAGTTTTAAAAACCATTCGCATTACGCCCACAACCATTTTTACTTTAGTTAAACGATATGTAAACCTACTTACCCTTACACACAGAAGAAAAATATTGCAAAAAATGACCATTTTGTACACAAATAAAAATTGCCCACACTTTGGTGCTATTTTTGTTGCCGCAACTGTACATTGCTTTGGTTGCGTCATTTGCACGTTTAGCGCATTGCTTAATGGCTGCGAAAATAGCCAATTTGCGATATATAATTCGTGGGTTTATGTGCTAGCGGGGGTGTGTACATATGTGCCAAAGTTATTAGTTTTGTTTACACTCTCGTTAGGAAAAATGAAAAGACATCGGCAGACAGGTCGGGACACCTTTCTTAGCCTTGGCGTAGTTACCGTCTTGTGTTTGCCCGGAAAATACGATTTGGGTCAGCGGAAAATGGGGATGATTTTATCATCCTGAATCATAAAGACAATATGGATCAAGTTTAATTTATTACTTTTGGTTCAGTGGATGTTTAGGGGAATTTATGGAGCCCAAAAGTATGCCATAATTAAATTTACCAATGTTCAAGTAAACATAAAAATTTACTAACTTAAGATAAAGGGGCGTATTCAACAGATAAGTCTGAAATCATGACAATTTTTTATATCAAATTGTAATTAAACATATACAAATTTGATTTTAAGATATCTCTTGGGGGCTCTCACTTATTAATGCTATACCAAAATGCCTAGCTACTTAATTCCTTTAGTATACAACGAACAAAAGAAATGGTTGATTAAGACTATATTCAAAAGTAAGAAGTGCTTATCAACTGAAGGGCTGCCAAAATAAAAAAATATCACCCAGTCAAGATACTATAAGCCTAACATATCAAACTTTCAGGGTCAAGTGTAGAAAGTTTCAGCCTATCCCCCAAAGGGAAACTGTCAAC